TCCCACCATATACATCGGACAAACCAACAGAAGAATAAGTGCACGCATTGAAGAACATAAGAACTCAGTCAAAAAAGAGGAACCAACATCTTCCCTGGTCCAACACCTTAAAGCCACAGGACATGAAATTGACTTTAAAAATACCAGAACCATTGCCAAAAGTGAACATTTTAATAACAGAATAATCAGAGAAGCCATCGAGATAGAAAAACGCCCACACAGCATGAACAAGCGAGATGATACCTCCCGCCTACCAGCCATTTGGAAACCTGCCCTTATTGACAAACGACTCCCTAACCCCAAAATCTTAAACCCCTCTGCAACTCAGACTAACCTGAGCACAACCAAACAGAACACTCCCCCAGCCAATCAGAGCACAGCCAAGCCCCTAACCATTCAGAACACACCTCCACCCAATCAGAACACAGCCAAGCTCCCACCCAATCAGTTCATACCCCCACTGGCAGTTAAAAGGAAGAAACAGCTAAGACCACACATTGCTGCTCAAAGCACGAAGCTGAAAACACCAGCCTGAAGATGACGAATGGACTTCGTCGAAACGTCGCCAAGACACTTCCAATTTTACGCGGGAGAAAACCCGAACAACCAAAGACCTATATATATATATATATATATATATATATATATATATATATATATATTATATATATATATATATGTATATATATAGCATTCTTGGGTATATATATTCTTGGGCATGATTCATTGTCATTATTTTTCTGGTCTTCCTATCCATTGCTTTTTATTATTATTATTATTATTATTATTATTATGGATCATCGCACAGTCAGCCAGATGTTCAGACTGGATTTGGCATTTTGTCTACCTATCGAGTCCTTACCCAGGACCTGGGATAGGCAGATGTGGATGTTTGATGGTATTACAGATATCGTCGCAGGATGGAAGCAGTTCCTAGTAAGGCCGCCTTTTGCAATTGACTAATAGCGAATTTGTCAATGCCAATGGTGTTCAAGTGGTGCTCCAGTTGTTTTGGGATTGCACCCAAGGAGCCTATTACTATTGGTACTACCCTTGCTTGCTTTTGCCACAGTCTTTCTATTTCTATTTGTAGGTCTTTGTATTTTGTTATCTTCTCCAGTTCTTTCTCTTCTATTCTGCTATCTCCAGGCACTGCCACGTCCACTATCCAGACTTTTTTGTCTTTCTTATCGACAATTGTTAAGTCTGGGGTGTTATGTTGCAGGTGCTTGTCTGTTTGAATTCTGAAGTCCCAGAGCAGTTTAATTTTATCATTTTCTATGACTTTCTCTATTTTATGATCCCACCAGTTTTTGCTTACAGGCAAATGATATTTTTTGCAAATCTTCCAATGCACCATTGTTGCTACTTTGTCATGCCGCTGCTTGTAGTCAGTCTGTGCAATCTTCTTGCAGCAGCTTACCAAGTGGTCCACTGTTTCTTCAGCTTCTTTGCATAGGCGGCACTTACTGTCTGTTGCTGTCTTCTCAATTTTGACTTTATATGCATTTGTCCTTAAGGCTTGGTCTTGTGGAGCCAGAATTAGTCCCTCGGTCTCTTTCTTCAATTTTCCTGCTCTTAGCCATTGCCAGGTATTGTTATTATCTGCTTTCCCAGCTATTTTTTTAATGTATTGGTCATGTAGTACTTTGTCTTCCGATACCTCTATTCTGTTCTTCATTTGGTCTTTCTTGTAGGCCAGTTTGGTCTCTCCAGTAGTCAGTAAGCCTTCCTGATATACTAATTTCAGTGCATCTTCATCATTGTTCTTAAGATATTCTTCCAAAGCCATTTTTTCTTCTTCAACCATCTGATGTACTTGTAGCATTCCACGCCCACCTATTTGCCTTGGTAGATAAAGTCGGTCAATGTCACTGCGTGGATGGAGGGCGTGATTCATTGTCATTATTTTTCTGGTCTTCCTATCCATTGCTTTTAGTTCTGCTTGAGTCCAGTCCACTATTCCAGCTGTGTACCTAATGACTGGGATTGCCCAGGTGTTGTTTGCCTTTATGGTATTTCCTCCATTGAGTTTGGACTTTAAGATCTTTTTCACTCTCTTGATGTATTCACCTCTAACCTTTTTCTTGACTTCAGTGTGCTTGATGTTGTCAGCTTGAAGGATACCCAAGTATTTGTAGTAATCTTCCTCATCCAGACTCTTAATGTTATTTTCGTGGGCATCTTGATTCCTTCAGTTTTCACTATTTTTCCTTGTTTGATAGTAAGTGTGGCACATTTGTCCAAGCCAAACTCCATTACAATATCTTGGCTATATATACGGACAGTGTTGAGCAGCGATTCTATTTCAGATGATGTTTTTCCATACAGCTTCAGATCATCCATGTAAAGGAGGTGGGATAGTCTGGCAGATGTTTTTGATGTTTGATAGCCATGTCCTGAGTTATTCAGTATTGTTGACAGAGGAAACAGTGCAATGACAAATAGTAATGGTGATAATGAATCTCCTTGAAATATTCCTCTCTTGATATTAACCTCTCCCAGCTTCTCACCATTGATCTGCAACTGTGTCTTCCATTGTGCCATCGATCTTTGCACAAATTTTCTGATGTTTCTACTGACTCCTGTTATTTCTAGGCACTTGATTATCCAATCATGTGGCAGAGAGTCAAATGCCTTTTTGTAGTCAATCCATGCCACATTCAGGTTGGTCTTCCTTCTCTTGCAGTTTTCCAAGATCATTTTGTCTATTAGGAGTTGATCTTTTGTTCCTCTGCTATTGGGGCGGTTTCCTTTCTGCTCAGGTGGAAAGAGATTGTTTTCAACTAGATGCTGTTGCACTGCATCAGCTACTACACCAGTTAGTAATTTGAAAGTTGTTGGTAAGCAGGTAATTGGCCTGTAGTTGCCTGGTATTGCCCCTTTTGCTGGATTTTTCATTATTAGGTAGGTTTTCCCAGTTGTTAGCCACTTTTCAATTTCTCCTCCTTGTAGTATATTGTTGAACTGTTTGGCAATGAGTGGGTGTATAACAGTTAGATGTTTCAACCAAAACCCATGCAGTTCATCTTCACCTGGTGCTGACCAATTTTTGATTTTCTTTGCTCTTTTTTCTACCATTTTTGTTGTTATTACTAGTTCTTTCATTTCAACTTCTGTTTTATTTGCATCCACCTCTTTTAACCAAGCCGCATCCTTGTTGTATTTCTTTGGGTTATCCCATATCTGCTTCCAGAACTGCACTGTTTCTTCCTTGTCAGGTACTGACTGATTCCTTGCAGTTTCTCCATTGATGGATTGGTAGAAACGTTTCTGATTGGATTGAAATTGGAGGTTCTGCTATAGTTTGCAATTCGAGCTTCATATCTACTGATTTTCCTGGCTATAGCTGTTATTTGTTGCTTTATTATTTCCAGTGCTTCCTTGATCTTCCTTGTTTCTAAGTGGTATTTCTTGATTAGGTATTCTTTGGTCTTCTTGTTCTTCAGCTTCTTTTCTTTCATCTGTTCTAGCTTGCTTGCATGTGATCTTAACTTGCTGATCTTATTTTCTAGTCTAACCTTCCATTTTTCTGGTGCACTGTTTGTTTGTTTTTCTTCTTTGTTGATTTTGCATCCCAGGTATTCAGTTATAACTGTAGCTGTGCTGTACATTAGTTGGTTTGTTTCTTGCAGTGAATTGGTGCTTATACTTGCTATTGCAGTATTTGCATCTTTTAATGCTTGTGCTAGCTGTTTCTTTGAAACAAGCTTCAATGCAGGCAGCCTTATTCTGTTGTTTTTGTGCTGTTCTAGATGCTCAGTTATTCTTTGTTTCAATTCTTTTATTTCTTTAGTTAGAGTGTTTTGTTCTTCCTGAGGAAGAGGTGCCTGGTTTTCAAATGAGAACAGTTGTATAGCTCTACTGGATTCTTTCACTGCCAACTCCCCCTGGTTTGCCTCTACATTCTGAATTACTTCTGGTAAGGCTTTGATTTCTTTGCCCTGGGTAAACCTTTGCAGTTCGTCCAATTCTGTTTCTGTGAATACTTTATTTCGTATTATAAATCGGCGTTGATCTGCTAGTCTCTGTTCTGTTATTTCTGATTCTGGATGTTGTTCTTTCCAGAACTGGTGCATTCCTTTTAGATATCCTCTTCTTGTTGGACTTGATCTGTAGTAACAGATCATTATTTCTTTGTTTTCCATCACTGTGTATCTGCGACGGGTAAACACCTTTTCTTCCAGTAGTTCTGCAGCTGCTGGCCCTGGTTGCTCAGCCAACAGTCCTGAGTCCTGTAACCCATTTTTCACCAGATATCCAGGAACTCCAATATCTAGCGTGGACCTTGTTAACCCGGGCGACATCCGAGCCGGTATGGCATTCTGAAATTTATGTCTCACCATATTTTTTATGGGAGAGACACTCTTTGTCTAACTCCTCTGATGAGACCTGTCCAGTATGGTTGAACCTCTGGCATAGCTCTCATCTTCCTCAGAGTACACAAGCCCCACAACCACGTCAAGGTAGTGCCTCACTGGGGGTCTATTATTATTATTATTATTATTACTACTACTATTATTATTATTATTAAATATGGGTATTCAGAGATTTTCTATCTAAATCCAAATAGGGTTCTCAGTTCAGTTTTTTTCCCTGCATGCCATAACAATTCTGGGAGCATAAATGATATTCCAGTAAGTGACCTCTATGCCAATAGAATGGTAATTACACCATTTATTATGAACTCCAAATTGCCTTTGTTTAGTTTTAGATTGTAGCCTCTTTCAGTATTGTTTAGAAACAATTCCTCCTTGCACATGAATTGAAGCATATGGTTTTGAAATTAATTATATTTAAGAAAACTAATTTAGATACTGTAAACATTGCAATTTAGACAAAAGGTATCCTTATAGTTATTACAAACGCAGGGAACAACTAATGGAAGCTAGTCTATTAATAATCAGAATTTCTTTAATTTCTGAAGTATTGCCAAAGATTGCATTTTTAATATATTTATTGTACAATTGTACATTTACAATGTCTTGTTTTTATTTCAGATTCAGCTCCTGCTTTGAATTCTTTAAAATATTGTAAGTATTTTTTGTTTTGTATTTGATTTATTAGCATTAACAGTCATTTGAAATTATCTATTACTATAGTATATATTTATTCCCATTTAATGTATCATATTTTCTAACAACAATGTACCAGGAAATAATTTCTAAGTTGTTCTAAATTACTTGTTTCCTTTGAAGTTCTTCAAATCTATGTCTGAGAAATCTCCCTATTTCTAATTTCTTTTAGAAGTCAATTTTGGTTAAATTTCAGTACTAGCTGTAATTTGAAATTAAAATTTAGATGTATAATGGTGTGAAATATTAAAAGCTGAGTTGTAAAATATCAAATGTCTGCAAGAGTTTACAGTTGGATAAAATTTGAAATAAATTAATCATTGATCATATCTTCTGGAGAGGCTGTATGAGGTCGACCACATACTTTCATGCAAGATATAACTTCCATTTAAAATAATCACAGTCCATTGTTGAGTTGAGAATTACTCCTGTTTCAAACCCTGGAGAACAGCTACCAGTCACAAAAGATGCTATTTGCTTAGACTGATCAGTGACCTAGCTATATAAAGCAGTTTCAGAATTTCAAAGGGCGCCTGTGATTAGAAACCACTTGCAAGTCCTAAAATCTTTAAGGCTACTGTATAAGAATCAGACCACTGATCAGTCCAGCCTGTTTTCTTTAACTGCATATCTCAACCTTATATATAAATATTCATATTTGCAGGAAATGGTCTAAGAATAGAAGTGTGAATATGATGGAATAATCAAAACCTATATGGATAAATTATTAATATAAAGGCAAGAAAAGAAAACAGTTGACATGATTAGTTAATTTGATTGGTACAAATTGGGCAATCCATATCCTGTATTACCTTTAATCCTAGTTTTTATAGCATAATGCATCAAATTTATAGACTTTCCTTGGCATATACATATTGGCTTCTATTCTCTAAAATATATAGATATGAAATTAAACTTAAGAAGAATTGATTTTTCTTTTGTACTAATCAAGACGGTCATAAAATAATTACATTCAATTACATTGAAAAGACTTTATTTTTGAAATATAAATATATATAATGACTTAAATTCTAAGATTTCTTGATTCAACATTTCAGGAAAGGGCATGATAGCAACTACATAAATCTCCCCCCTTAAAATATTACTTATTTTTGTGCAATATTATCCTAATAGTTCATTAAATATTATTATTTTTTATAATTTAATACTGGGATACCTTTAAAAATCATAAAATGGCAATTTTGTTTTTGTTTAAATAGATGGTGGCAAAAATAATACTAGGAATATGAACAAATTAGGAAAAATGACTAAATAATGTATTAAATTTTTCTCCGTGATATTTAATTGTAGATTTACCTCTGGATATCTTAGGAAGTAATTGTTTCAAACTGTTCCATTCATTAAAAAAAAAAAAAAAAGCCTGGCTGGTTTCCAAATTCTTTTCCTGTGATCTGCAAAGCTAGGCTGATTTTTTTTATTCTATTTTCTTTCTTTCCTTGACTATATTCTTTGAATGTGCAGTGTCCCATATTTATGTTACTTACAGTAATTCAGTATAGATTTTAAGCATTATCCTTCACTCTTATCACTTTCTATCTCATTGACTCATTTTACATGATTTGTAAAAATCACAATTTGTTTTCATTTGTTTTTGCTACTGTCTGTGGGCCTTTTATATGGTATCTTCTGTTGCTAATGACCATCCATATGTATAAGGTACAATGTCCCATATATATATGTCTGGTTTTTTAAATTTTTATTTATGATATGCAACTGTTTGAATGTAAAAGCAGAAAGACATTTTGGCATGGACATAGAACTTATCAACAATTTGTTAAACCAAATGGACCTGATCTTAGGAAAGATATGACTGCTATGTATATTTACTTTGTTCTACCACTTAAATATACAGAGACTGTTCCAGATAAATTCTACATAGCAGTCAGAGATTATAGATAATCACAAAAATGCATATATATATGTACATTGGCTTTCAAACTAATTTTTGCTTTAATTTTGTCTGGTCTTCATTTTCAAGCCAAATCTAATGCATTGCCTACTGCCACATTTGATTTATTTCTATTATTTTGTTTTTAGATTGTAGTTTTATATTTTGAATTTATATTATTTTATGCAACCTTAAATACTAGGGCAGTACAGAAAACCCCTAAATGAATAATATTTTTTTACATATTTAAAGTGCTGGGCCTTCAACAATATTAGTAATCATTACAACATATTTAAAGTGGATATAGGTCATTATGCCACTGTTGAAAGTTTTAGTCTAAGAAATCAGATGACTAATTAGATTTTTTTTATTAAGTTAAGTTGGTAGTAATAATGTTTTGATTCATAGTTCAGAATATAAAGTCTTGGATTATGTTGTCTTCTGTTTATGTAATACATTTCTTTCAAATATATCTGATATTCTTAAAAAGAGTGAGAAACAACTACCAATAACTTATAAAATCCTGATTGTGTGAAAAGGTATTGAGAAACTTTCAAATATTTACTTACTCATTTTCTTTGTAAAATTTTGAAAAAAAAAATAATACCTTGTATTAATTGTCCAGAGCAAATTATCACATTGTGAAGATATACAACTATGTAAAGTACATTATTTATGTAGGAATTCTGACTTTAAGATGTGGGCCCTGCTGTGACTATCTTTTTATGCTGAAATTGCAACCCAGAATCTTTTAGCTGTAGGATAATCAATACATTTTATAAACAAGACTAAAAAGTTTCTTTAAGATTATCTAGGAAATTTTACAAGTTTACATTTAACCATAGATCTTAACTAGTTTACAAAACATTCTTGTTTTACATTGTTTGTACACTAGTATAAGGCCAGTGTAAATGTGCAAATTGTTCTACTTCTTGTTGTCTTGTATTTATAAGTATCTACTTTCAATAAGAGAAAAATTCTATGTAAAATTCATTTACCAATTTTCGTACCCTAGGAAAAAAGGTTCAACAATGCAAACAGAGGTCAGTCTTACTTTGGATTATCCATGCCTAAGGCAGATTAAAGAAAAAAATGACCATCCTCGCACTGGTGGGGGCGGCAGCAGCAGGGCAAGGCGGGATATGGCAGGCGCCCACACTTTGCCGCTGCTGCCCCACATCGTTCCATGTGTGCCTCCGGGCTGTGCATGTGGGACAATGTGGGGTGGCAGCGGAGAAGGGTGGGCATGCGCCACAGCTCATCTTTTCCCACCGCTGCCTCCACCAGTGTGAGGATGAGCGGCACAACTTCATTTCTAGATCTGCTGCCGGCCAGGCTTGGTGTTACAGGGATCACTGCTGCCGCCTCCTGCTTCCCTGTGTGATTGGCCGATGAAGGGGCTCGGAGCAGCAGGAGGAGTAGCAGCCACCCCCCATCAGAGCCACCATGTAGACAGGGCCCGCACCAGGTGAAGGTTCCTTTCCGGCCATCCTGGGACCGCCTCTGCCCATGCCAATGGGCTGCATTAAGGAAGGGAGAGGCAGCTCTGAATCTCCCCTGCTGGCCACTCCCCCAGCACCCTGCCCAATGCTCTTTCTATGTGACTGCAGTCTGAATGAGAGGCTTGGCTGACAAGGGGTGGCGGCTTTCCTCCGTGGAGGCATCCAGGCCCTCCTGCCCCCCCCCTAGCCAGACCCCCTCACCTTCCCCAGCCGGTACCTGATTACCCCCACCCCAGCCAACCCCCCAAGCAGCCCAGCCTGACCAAGACAGAGAGAAGGCGAGGCAGAGAATGGTTGTTAAATGATTTAAACCACCACTGGTCGCTTCCAAAGGTCACTCACTCCCTCTCCTGCCAAAACTGTTCCTTTTATAGGTTCCCTCACCCCTCCCAGCTCTTGCAGCTCTTTCCGGACTCTGCATACGTGGAGAGGGGGAGGGGAGTTGGTGGAAGATTCATAAATACTTTTCTTGGTTTCACCAAAAAACAAAGAAAACAAATCCAAAATCTATACTTCTTGGGGAGATTTCCCAGTGCTGTTTTCTGGGATTCTCCCTTCTATTCTAATGTATTTTATTCTAGTTATATGTGTAGATTTCCAAAGGACTAAACACCGGTTTAGATAAAATAATTACTGAAGGCTGCAGCTTGGCTTTATACCATGGCCTTTTAATATACATTTTGATTAAGAGAATCTAAGCAACTTTTAAAATTCAAATGGATTGTTATATTGTATGATTTTTTTATGAACTCCTGATACATATAGATAGTCCTTGCTTAATGTCCATTCATTCAGAGACTGTTCAAAGTCATGATGATGCTGTGACTAGGCCTTGAACATACGGCAATCTTAGTGCTCTCACAGTCACATAATAAAATTTAAGTCAGTCTGCATGTATGATCGTGAACCCCCCCCTTATCTTTGTCATCTTTGTCTACCTTATCTCAAATGGGCTCAACATTCTGACCAAGTATGGGGAAGACTTTGGCTCTGGGGCTTCTTGCTCTACCATTGTTCTTGGTCTTTTTGATACACAGTAACAATGGAACTGTTACCTGTGTTATGACTTGGGACTGCCTCCCATAGCTTTGGAGCTTCTTGGATCCATGTGCACCCTCCCCAACCAGTAGCAGCCAGCCCTAATACACCTTGCCTTGCCTTTCATCCTCACAGACATGTGCACCCTCTCCCAGCCCTGCTGCATGATGCAGTGCCTTGCCAGCCACCAGCTCACCACTCTCCTCCAACATAAGCCACTTACTTCTCTGCTGGCCTACTTATAAGCTATCTAAGAATTGCAACTTACATCCAGCTTCCCAATTGACTTGTGTTGGAACAACTTTGGTTGTTGGAGCACGAAGTTGCAAGGAGGTCCTCACTTAGTGATCCATTGTCCTCACTTAATGACAGCAACAAGGATGGTAAAGAATTATGTCATATCACTGCATTGCTTAGTGATGGAGATTCCTGAAACAAGAACTGCAGGAATCATCATCACTAAGCAATGCAGTGATGTCACATCATTCTTTACCATAATGTATATTAAG